AACCTAGTGGTGGACTGAATTTGCCATGATGGAATATTCCACAGGCTCCAGCCCATGCCATACTCACCGTGACACCAGGACAACAGAATACACTCGGGAGAAGCAGAGTAGGCTGCCAATGAAAGTGTTTTCATTAAATTATGGATAACTCAGATGTTTCTTTTATTTTATTAAAGAAAGACTCAAAGTTTCATTATGGCCCCTATATTTGACAGTAAAGGTTTGTTGGTATACGTGGTCTTGAGCCTTCTTTTAAACATATTCCACAAACCCGTGAATTGTCTTAACTTCACCCTTTTATTTCTGGTTTTCCCTGCAGCAGGATGCAAAATTTCATCCACAACCAAATAGCTCTGCTTGAGGGACTCGCCGTTGCTCTAAAGCGAACCCCAGAAGAACTGTGACAGCCGATAAACTACAGATACGTATATCCTTTAACAAATAACCGGCTTTGGCTGCATTTTCATTAGGACTCTACACTACAATGACAATAAGTTTAGGTGTAGTGATATCATGACTAAAACAAAATGTATGCATGTGTTATAACTGACTGATCATACAAATAACTATTAACTATAAACACATATGCTTTTGTAGATTTGTTGGAGAGACTCGTTAATTGCTTAATGAAAGATGTCTTTCAGATACTAATTCCTTCATTTAGTTCAACAGATTAAATTTTATATGAGAAGATATTAGCATGCATGCAATGAAGTGATAAGGACAACCGAAAAGCTTAAATGTTAATGGATAAAAGACAACGTTCAGGTTATTTTTAAAAACTAGCCAGTATAATTTTCCTTTTGTGTGCTTCCACTTGCTCTCTGCATAGACAAAAATGTCCTTTTTAATGCTCATGCAATTATTGCAATATCAAGATCATCTCTATATTTTTTATGAACTGTAAGTCAATTATAAAACTTTAAGCAATGTTCTAATTTGCAAAACTAGTCAGGACTTAACATTTGCAACCAAAGCAAAATCACTTTTTGTGCTATCATTTTAGGTCATTATCTAATTTTATGGAGATTTCAGATTTCTAGTTTGCAGAAAGCTTTAATATAAAGTAGCTTTACCACCATGGAGTTAATGTCGACAATGTTTTTGTGAGAGAAAATTGCCACTAGTACCAACAGACCTGTGTCTTCATTCCCCTCAGTCTCCTTAAACTGCAGTTCAATCTGGTATAATCTTTTTTCCTCCCCCAGTAGGGTGCAGAGAGCCCTCTAGCCTCCAAGCCTGTTTCCTACTGAGGTACATATTGACCAGCAAACAGCTGCTCAGAACAACTATTTGCATCGACAATGGGGTCATCCCACCACGTTCTTTTCAGATCAATATGATTGGTACAAACAATAGTTTGATTTTGATTGCTCTATAGTACGCTTGGGTAGAGCCTCTGAATGCAAGTGAATTGCTTAGAAACAATGGGCTGGTTCATCATCCAAAGCGTCCCTTTTCAAACAGCTGCCTCTGCCACACTCACCCTGACAACGTCCAGAAAAACAGATGGTTTCAGCATTCATGGGCAGTTCAGTGAAAGCCCCTGAGTCAACCATTCAATGCATGTTTTTTAATCTATCTGATATTAAGGAGTCTTTCTCTCCACTAAAATTTTCAAATATTGCTAAATTCTCTTGCTGAATCTAAGTTGAATTGAAAGGAGAGAAGTAGGTATTCAAGAGGTAGGAACGAAATCCCTTTCTTGAGACAATATAGCTAAGATCTCTTGTTAAAATTGCAGTGTAGACCTTCGTGTATGCGATGCACAGTAATTCTGCAACACAAAAAGGTAGATTCATAATGCAGAGAAGATCTCCCAGCGTTGATCTCCCCAGCTTCTGTTGTCTATTTAAAGCATACTTTGAACGTTACTTCAAAAACAAGACATTCCACCCCACCCACCCCGGTTTTGTTTCACCACAAGAAAAATCAGTTTCGAGAATTGCATAGGGAGTAACACAAGAGACACTGTCATTCTTGTGTGTTATCATCACTCAATTACATAATGTATTAAAATACATTTTGTAGTCAGTTGATTGCAATGGCTGTGAAGGCTCAAGTATCAATCCTAAAGGCATTCGCATTTTGGTGCTTTAAAAGAAACAATAACCTATATTTTATATGTGTGCTATCATCCCCAAATTATTCTACTTCTGCATTTTTCTAGTAAGCATTAAGAGCAAGAAAATCTTTACCCCTTAGCCAGGAGACAAATTTCATTTCAAAAATAAATTATTGGAAACAGGATAGCAAACAATTCAAAAAATTTTTTTTCATTACTTAAGACATAAAATTTTGGAAGAGGTACTGTACTCAACGCTGTATACTTTTCCTAAATATCATTTGTTTATATCATAACTCTCTAAGGTTACAGAAGAGGGCTTAAAAGGATCTGACATACCCTTGTAATCAACTTCATTTACAAATCTACATTAAAATATACCTCCCTTTATAAAAGATTTGGTTCCTAAAATTGGAGTACAAAATAAGTTTATAAAAATAATTCAGTTTTGTCACCAACCCTATTGTAAATTAACAGAAAACAAAATTCATTTATTCAACTACTTTTACTGATCCATAAAATAGGGATAATAATTTTAGCTCTATCATTGAGTTATTAGCTGGATTAAATTAGATAGTACTTATAGAAGCACCTAACACAGTACCTGGTTGTTATTATTATTATTATTATTATTATTATTATTATTATCATCATTATTATCATTATTATCACCACCATCATCATTTTATTTCTAGAGAAATGTAAAGAAAATATACAGCAGAAGAAAATATTAAGTCACCCAATGGCAAAGCAGGAAACTTGAAAATGGAAAAATTTAGGTCATGGGCTGGCCTGTGACCTTCTGTGCTTTGCTCTGGAAGAAGCAGCGCCTCCAGAACTTCAGGATCTGTGCTTGCCCCTTGTCACCAGCTGCCCTTTTGTCTGTCCTCCCAAGCATGGCCAGAGTTGGGGCAGCCACTGCCCCACATGTCTCCTTCCTTTGCCTTCCAAGAGTGGTGCCTACTCACCATCTCTCCTTCCTCACCTCCACAGCCACCTGGGCTGCTGCACCAAACACTCCACTAAAACTGAAACACCCAGGTGATTCCCAAGGATCCCCTAACCGCCAAATCCGGCAAGCACTTCCAAGCCCCTGTGGTACTCAACTCTGCTGCAGAATCTGAATCTGCTGACCGTCATTCATTCAACCCATTCTTTCCCTGCCCCTGTGCTGGCCCTGAAAATACAAAGAAGCGTTTATTGAGACTTTTTCTCAGCATCCCTCCCACATTCTCTCCTAGGATTCCCCCCTGTCTTTTCCATAGCTCTCACAGTTTACCCTTCTCCACTGTGCAGTGAAATGTAAGTGTTCTTCTGGGTCCTGCTGTCTACGCCTGCTCTTAGTCTACCAGTCTTCATTATCTATGTATTCATTCAACAAAACCCTTACTGAGCACTTCCTATATCCAAATTTTATTTACACTGATGACTGCAACTAAATATGACCTCCAAACTGACATCTCACATTCCTCTAACACTGATCAGCACTCACTCTGTGCTGGGCATAGTCCTTGACGCATTCATTCGCTGATGAACAGACTAGTCTCCACCTTCAGAGAGTTCTGGGTGGTCCAGGAGAACAGTAATTACGCACAATTACAACGCTGAACGGACCAACAGAGATGAGAAAGCACAGCGGAGGGTCACCTAACTTGCACTAAGGGTGTAGACTTCAAATGTATAAAAGCAGGAGAGAGCCATCAGATTTGTGTGTTAGAAAGATCCCTCTGCCTATAATGTGAAAAATGGATTCAAAGGGGGAAGGACCGTGAGTTAGGAGGTGCTACAGTAATCCAGGTGAACGATGGAAAACTGCACTGAGGGAGAGGCAGTAAGAGACAGAAAGAAATAGATGGAATTTAGGACAATTTATTCAACAATTTGTAATACTTTTTATTTTTATTTAAAGTATAGTCGATTTATGATGTGTTAATTTCTGGTATACAGCATAGTGATTCAGTTAAATATATTCATACATTCCTTTTCGTATTCTTTTTCATTATAGGTTATTATAAGGTACTGAATATAGTTCCCTGTGCTATACAGTAGGACCTTGCTGTTTGTTTTATTTTATTTATAGATATATTTTATCTATTTTATATATATATATATCTCAAGAAGTTTGGGATTTGCGGATACTTACTATTACAATACTTCTTAATTGAGCCCTGAAGCTGGTTAAGAAAGAAACTCCTGGAAACAGAATAGGAGACATGCGGTCAGTGTGTTCACGTGGCTGTGTTTCTATGGCCCAAGGAGCATCACCCTGTCACAGGTTGCACAGTGGCCATTTGTAAGTGCCTGTATGTAAGTCTATCTTCTGCATCAGACCAGTAGTTTTCAATATTTTTCTACCTCCGTACTATCCATAAATGCAATCAACTTCCATCATAACACGCCTTATTGAAAGCAGTGTGGGTGGAAGGGGGAGGAGAAGAGGGAAAAGTTCAAAATCTCTAGGGGAACAGACAGAGGAAAACTGAAAAGCCTCCACTACACAGAAAGTTGCTTGACAACAGAAGAGGCATCTTTTGAATTTTTGTTCACCAAAGACCCAGCACACTACAGAAGGGACAATACCAGGTGATCAGCGTTTCTTGAATAACGGAGTAGATGAAGAAACAAATGTTGAAATGCTCTTAGGTTTTTAGTCATACAGTCAGTCTTTAAGGACACTCCAGAAAAAGGGAAGAGCCAGCTCTCCCCACAAACATCTGACCTTCTGTGATCCACATTTCCCTCTTGTGGCTCTTTGATTTGGGAGCCAGGGTGGGTAGATATGCCGGGAGATGAGAGTATGGAAAGGACAGCAAAGTTTCAGGGCACAAGAGTCCTGGGGTTCCAGGGTTGACAAGATCCTCCCCTTTGTCCCCCTTTGCAGGATGAGGGACCTGAGATCTAAAGAGTTGAAGTGGCTCTCCCAGCCACACATGGCAGCACACCAGGATCTAGAGCTACTGACCCAGATCCAAGGGGCTTTTTCTTTTCAAAACTTTACAAACAAAACCTTCTGCAAGTTTTAAGACATCTAAATGTTGCAAATGACCCCAACTTAAGGGCACGTTTGAAGTCCAGGGAATGAATTTCATCAACTTTGCTTCCTAGGGAAAGATTAAGTGGGAAAATAAAAAAGATATTGGTTCCATCTGTTGGTTTTGTTTTATTTGCATGTTTTCCAACTCATTCCAAGTACATTAATAGCCTTAAGCAGCGTTTCATGCACTAGATATTATGCTTCTTCCATCTGCGGACAAACGATTCTCTAAGTCTTTAGCGTGGGGGCGGAAGAGGGAACAAAACTTGTCTGGAGCGTGATCAAGGGGAAACGTGAAGAGTCCTGGGACAGTTGTTCAGTAATTTAATACTGAGTTAGACTTGCCTCTCCTTCTGCCCTGGCTTTACTTCCGCTTCCCAGAGCCAAGCCTAATTCCCATCTTTTGCTCTCTTTCTGGCCCCCCAACACCTACAGGATGAAAGTGATTTCTATCTTGGAGCTACTCTCCGGGCGCCATGCTGCCATTTAAACATCGCAGATGCCCACGGTGCATCTGCACACCTCTTGCCCCTCCCTTTACAACAGGCCAGAAAACCACCCCTGTGTCACTGCAGGACATTCTTGCTATTTAATGTCACTTCCCATCAAGTGCCTGCTGCAGGGACAAGTCCCTCTCCAGGTCCCAGCTGGCTCTCTCCATATTCTTGGGCCCCTGGTTGCTCCCTGTTACCACATTCTTAATTCTCTTCTTAAAATGTAAGCTGTTCTAAAATTTTAAAGTGATGTGTTTATCTATTCTGTATAGAGTAGTTTGTATCTGCTAATCCCGAAGTCCTAATTTATCCCTCCCCTCTCTTCCCCTTTGGTAATCACAAATTTGTTTTCTATGTCTGTGAGTCTCTTTCTGTTTTGTAAATAAGTTCATTTGTGGCACTGTATCTCACAGGGAACTATATCCAATAGCTTGTAATAACCTATAATGAAAAAGAATATATATGTATACCTGAATCATCATGCTGGACACCAGAGACTAACCTAACATTGTAAATCAACTATACTTCAATTACTAAAAAAAAAAAAAGAGTGATGTGTTTTCATTGAAGAAAATTTGTAAAATAGAGATGAGGAAAAGAAAATAAATGTGATCTGTCATCTTATCTCTCAGAGATAACCACTGACCACTGTTGGTATTTGGCTAAATTTTCCTCATAAGCCCATATATAGAGCTGTCCTTGAAAATGGCACCATACAGCACCATAAGCCAGCTTTCTTACTTAATAATATGGTATAAACATTTGTTCATGTCAATAATATTCCTATTCAAGATATTTTTAATGGATGAATATAATTCCTTTATAGGGATACACTATAATCTATGTTAACAACACTTTGTTGCTGGTTGTCATTTAGACAATTTATGTTCATGATTATAGTAAATGCTATAACATACAGCATGTGTGTGTGTGTGTGTGTGTGTGTGTGTGTATACATATATATATGCAATAACTATATATATTAATAAATCTTTAAGCACCTCTATGATTATTTTCCGAGGATAAATGACCAGAATTGGAATTGCTTAGTCAAATACGGCACGCACATTTTTAAGGCTCTCGATGCATAGTGGAAAATTGCCCTTCAGAAAAAATGGAAGTAGTATATACTACAACTGGCAGTATATGAGAGTGTTCACTGCTGTCCAAATCCTTCTTGTCTGAAAAGCCTTTTCTGTTTTCCCTCAAAAAACTAGGTCATCCTAACTATTTCCCACAGGATTCGATTTCACTGGAATCCAGCCCATGAATTGAGGCACGTTTCTCAACCTCTCTGATCTCTAACCGCTCTGATAGCATTGGAGAAGAACACAGCCCCCATACAGGCACAGTAAATTCACAGAACAAGTTCGTTTTCTTCCTCCCATATGCCACATACCAGCCACTATGTAAATCACCAGCGCCACTCTGTTTTGTTACGTATCCTTTCATGTATATGTTTGTTCTTAAAAAACACCACCACGGTCTGCTTTCCAGGGATGTCCTGTGATGAAAAGCCAGGACGCCTATAGAATCAGAAAGCAATATCACTCATTGCCAGCAGATGCCACTACCTGATCCACCATGTAGACCAGAAGAAGAATCTTTAAGTTCCAGTCCTGTAAGCAAACCAGCGTTCCATCTACATCACGTGAGCATGGTACACAGCTAAGATTATATAAAAACCATATAAAGGAAGTTTACTTACAAGCAAGGCTACATACTTTGGAATAGATTTTCATAATTAAATGTCACGTCCAACTTTCTGTTAAAACAAACTGTGTGTGTATGTATATGTATACGTATATATCAAGATAAACTCTAAAGTTCCCTCAAGAGGTTTATATTAATTATGAGCTGTTCTCCAATGTCGCTCTGCCACCCACAGAGTTCTAATGACTTTAAAATATGCTGGTAATGAGGAAAGACATATGGGATATTATGTAGAGCTGAGGTAGGTGGTAAGAGATACAGAATGAGACTCAAGGAGAGAATATTTTTTTATAATGTTCTCTGTGTGAAATTATACAGTACAGTATTTGAAGGGAAACTGCAAAACCTTATGTCTTTTTCTATATATGTAAGTCTATAAATAAGTTTGAAACTTTGACCCTATATATATGTATATCTCTCTCCATTTTGTTATAATTTTTCTTGCAATGTATGAAGAAAGTAAAATCTGGGACATTACAATACTTTAAAGGTACCCGTCAATGTCTTCTGACTGAATACCCTGATTTAGGCTTTCTAGGCATGGAGATTATGAAAGCTTTGGAAAATTCACTATGCGTATGCTGCTTGTATCCATGGTAAGAGGATGCAGAGAGATCAGAGAGAACCTACAGACAGCACACACTCGGGGAAAGTTAACAGAGTGAACAAAACATAAAGGTCAAATACAAATCACTGAAGTCTTCCAGCTCCTGAAATGCTATTTTCCACTGAAAATTTAAAGAGAAGACTTCT